GTTACCGGGTCTGTATACACTTCGTTAAAGAAAATCTGGGGGGTTACAGGGGGGCATGCCCCCCTGTTTTTACCCATAAAATTTGATATTTTACAGTTAGATTTGAAATTGTCTTTAAAATAATTGATTTGCGACAGTTTTAGTGGCTTTATACTTTATGTGTGATCTGCAGCAAACAGTACTGCAGTTTGACCCCTGAAACAGTGCATCTGTGTGCCGGAGTGAAAGTAAAATTTACCGTAATTTTTTTTTAAATTACAAAACCTGAGCCTGAGCGTTAAATAGCAAATAATACATTCGCTGTGCCGTGAACGTAGCCTGCAAATTAGACTCTTAGATCTACATTCACAGCGCTGTGAACGTGACGTAGGCGCTAATCTGGACCTGCTAATCACTGCGTAAAAACTCTACCAGACCATGCCATATAAAACCTAGATCATACTGATTACTGCGGCTCCCATACTGCACAATTATATGAGAATAATACAGTGTGGAATTTCTCCTATCATGAATCATGACCTCTGTGATCAATCTTCAATCTCATCATTTCATTATAAAACTTACCTGTAAGAAAACTGTACAAGGATTGTAGGTGAGCTTTATCTTTGAAACTGCGGGATAAGGAGCTCCAAATAACGTCTGAAATCCGTTTGACCAGGTCTCTTGAGGAATATTCCTCAGGATATTTCGTCAAGTCGACGGATCCTTTAACAAGGGTCTCGAATTTCGTATAAAGTGCCTCAACAGTATCGAGATCTACGACCGGGAAAATTGGTCGCAACAGAGTTGAGTCATCAGTGGAGGGAACGGATCTGTTTAACGTTAAAGCATTTTCAATGCATCCTAATGTTATTGAAAGGAGTGCAAGATTTGGCTCGTTCGATCCTTTCAGCTGATCTTCAAACAGTTTCACGACAGAAGAAGTGTCAGTGAGAGGAAAATGTCTTTTATCGCGATCTTTAAAGCCCGCCATCTTTGATAATGATGCTAGCTTCAATAGTTATTATTGCCAGGTATGCGTCAAGTAAACAGATAAGCAAGATTGTAATCTCGTTTGTTTCATTTTAGTTTCTAGAATCCGTTTTTTACGACGTTATATGCTATTGTTTTTATATAAATACCTGTGTGTATTTACTTAATGATAGGCCAATGTGATGACAACCCTGAAATAGTGAGATTCGGACAGATATGACGTCATTCCTTCAACTAATTATCTCAACTTCACTCGGTTACGTCGCAATCGATGCAAAAGTGGTCGACTCGAAATAATGCATGGTCTTGTGTTTATTAGGCTACAAATCCTTAATTAAAAAAAACAAACTTTGCAGTTCCGAACCTGACTTGATATATATGTAGATCTAGTATTATAAGAATGGGTCCAATGTAACACAAGAGAATCACATTAACTGATATGGTACGTTATGATCAGTTAGATCAGCGGTTCCTCTGTGCTATGAAGTTAATGTAATTACTGGGCCACGAATACATATTGAAGGAAAGTAAGATAAAACAATAAAATGATTAAAAAGCAGTCATGTTTTCCTTAGATTTACATCACGCAAAAGAATCGTTGGGTTGTCTTTTTATTTCAGTGTAACAAAATTATAATATCAGAAGCTGTAGAGCGAACTATGTGAACAATGAATGAGAACCAAACCGGCATGTTTTGGCCGAAAACCACATTGACGACCGTTGAGCGCATTGAATCGCGCGACAAGAGTGAGTCAAAATAAAACGGCTGCGCAGTTTTTGTGAGCGTTGTTTTGGTTTTTGCGCATGAGTGACGCTTGAGTTTTGCGGGTGGATGTGTGCTCCCTCTGAAACAACGCCCACAAAACCTGACAAAAATGAAGCTATTTATCTGATTTTAGGTCTGAAAAACTAATTATTTAGTTTGTCACGAATGTTCTACGATTTATATAGAGTAGATAATCTAATATTAATTTATACACATGTAATCATTAGGCCTATTATAACGAGAACTTTTTGGGGGTATTGTAATTTACTCTCCTCTCATAATATATATACTCGGGGGCTCTCGTGGCCAAGAGGTTAACTTGGTTAACTAATGTGATCGCCTCTCATTCAGTAGGTCCCGGGATCGAATTTGGACAGCAAAAGAAATGTTTCTTCTAGATCTATAACATTTTCTCTTTCATATCCTTTAATCCTCTCTAACAATTATGTTTTGTCCTCATTTCGTCTCCACTTTCTGACCCCCACACCCTCACCTCCTTAATTTGCCCCCAAGCTCATGGGTTCCCCTCCTTCTGCATGCAGTCTATTTCTACTGCTTCTCCTGGGACTGCTGTCTTTCAGCCGCACCCCTGATCTTATGCATGGTAGGTAAGATCCACAGAATTCTACACTTAAGTGTAGAATTCTGTGGTAAGATCTACACAACTATAAATTATTATGCCTTCT